TATGCTTGGCGTTCAACAACAAAAACGGACAGCTAACAGTGGCGCTCTCCATCCCTCTGTTGCAGTTCCTCTTCCTTTAAAAAAAAGGTTTAAACTTAACAAAGAAAAGTCAGGAATAGAAAACGAGGGATAAATTATGCAGTTTGGAGCAAGTATTTTGTTTACTCAGAGAACGGTATCTCGCTTACGAATCGACTACATAAAAAAGTTCAGTTTAAAGTTGAAATTCTTAACTCAATTTACAGTTTTTTATCTACATTTTTGAAATAAGCATCAGCCTCTTTGTTTAAAAGGAACTCGGCGTGATCTTTCTTCTCTTTGCTACGATGCATAGTGGAGCCCACTAGAGGAAGAAGGAACCGTCTTTCAGAACGTGCTCGAATTTGTAGATCTGGCTGCCAAGTCCTTATCTAAACTGTCAAAAACATTTCTTTACAATCCTCCACCTCTTTATTGTCGAATTTGAAAGGAAAAAGAACTAATTATTCTTGGTATTGCTGACAGTGCTGCCCAGTATCTAGAACTGAAAATGGTGGATACGATTATTAAAAGCATTGCTTGTGTTCTTGCGAGATTTCCCAAGCTCTGGCTAGTGGATAGCCCGTAAATTTTGTAACGTAACCTTGAAATATAATAACGTGGGAATTACTTTTTAAAATTCTAAATTTTTTTTTCACTGATATTTTCACGGGACAAAAATGAGAAGCATTTTAATTGTAAGAACTGATGTGCTGATCTGGAGTTTTCAGTCCCACTTTTCGAAATTCAATTGTTCTCTACATTGCTGCTTGGAAACCACATGATACTTCTTCAGTGGTAGCTCGGTGCCAGGTCGCTGCTAAAGAAGCGACTTTTGAAAATAAATAGTGAGTTGTGAAGAAAAAGATATTCAAAAGAGTTTTTGATTCATGTAAACGTCTCATAAACATTTAATGGCATTTAACGATAAGAAATGCTATCACAGTATACATCCAAAGAATTTTCCGTTTTTTCTTCTTATTACTGTATATGTCTTCTTAGTCAGTAGGTTACTTTTAATAGGTTACTCTGCTGTTGAGAACAGATTCGAGGCGGAAGTTGAGACTAATTACCTAAAAAGCTATTTACGATATAATTATCCCTTAACAAAGTGCTATTCTAAAATTTTGTTGAAACGCGAGGAGGAACTGATAATTTATCAGTAATAAATGGAGAAGATTTAAACTTTTTATGAAACTGCTGCGGTAAAATGATTTTCAAGACCGTCTGTAGACATCCCGCTCATTTATAAGTTTTTTTCTGGCCGTTCAATTTTCTGTTGCTTCCTTCTCAGACAGGCGTCTCAGATTCATTCAAATTTTTTCAACGGTGCAGTTTGGTTATCAGCTGTTAAACCCCAAAGGTTTATTTTTTTTAATATTTAATGACCTTTTTTCAAAAAACTCTGATTCACTCCTCAAATCAGACTGATTCTAAAATTTCCTGGTGCTTTAATAAATAGCAAATCCTCTGTTGTTGTTACAAGTACAAAGGAAGTGTTTGAAAAACCAATTATATAGTTGTTTGCGCGTCAGGATCATTCCAAAACCTAGAACAAAAAAAAAACTGCCGTATCCTCCCCACCTCTCCTCCCCTCTCCCTAGAAAAAAGACGTAGCGTTAAAATTTAAGAAGCGAAATGAATAGTTTAGAGAAGTTTGTTTCATACAGTGTATGAAGTTATGTAGTGTTACATTCGCGGTGGACAACAACTGATACTTAAAGAGCGAAGCCAGACTAAAAAACCTCCCATCATTCCAGTGGTCTTCATAAGTTGCCGACACTGCTTCGTGGTTCTTGATTTTTTTTTTTTTTTTTTGCCTTAAGGCCGCTGTCCGCACATCTTTGAAAACGAAATATAAGTAACTTTCTGTAACTAAGTGAATAATCATATTTATCTTCAAAAGAAATCTAAAATTGTTCTCTGTAAAGATAATTGCCATGTTAGAATGAGCCACTATTTTTTATAAATATTTGATCTTTTTTGATTCTCCCCCTAATTTCATATAATGCATTTTCTAATTGGTAATCAAAATTGAATCTTATTGACCAGCCAGATTTTGGAGAGCTCGTAGACGTCACATCAAAAAACTGTGGAATCAACCACCCCTGATTGTAGCATCTTACTTTTACTATTTACAAAGTCTGCCGCGTATGGAGAGCTTCTACTGGATTTATATAAATTCGTTATGGGAGACTATTTTGTTATTTTAGTTGCTAAGACGTTACACTTGAAGTCATAAATGCATTCTCGCTGTATACTATGAAGCCACTCTACATAACCACGCTTCGCTTTTTATTACTTTTTTCACAATGCTTTACTTGCAGACAGGTCTGAACGGATACCGGACAAGAAATTAAAAGCGGGCTTTCCTAAGCTCGAAAAATATATTCTTGATATTCACAATTACAAGAGTACATTTCTCAAGCTTTTTTTTGTTAAAAATCTTACTAGTTTAAAAACTGATTGTGCTCAAAAAAAAAAAAAAAAAAAAAAAAAAAAAAAAAAA